CAGCAGGAAAAACTGACCAACTGTACAAGATGGTTGTTGTATAGAAAACAAGCTTCACACCTATCATTTCCTGTGATAAAATTACAGTCTCATCACTTGTTATTTTGAGCCACCAGAACACTGAAGCAGGTGATAAATAAGCACAGGACTTGCAAATTGCTTTCTGCTCAAGGAGTACAAGATTGCCCCCTTGATTATCCAGGTTTGCATCTCTCGTGGATTAAGTTTAAGACCTTCTAAGATTTCTCTGCAGAATTTAATATTTTCCTTGTGTTTTGTGAGGCTTGCACAGCTGTATGGCCATAAAACTCAACAGAGCTAAATCCAATCAGCAATTCTGAAACTGCCTCTCCCAGGTGGATTTGATCTTTAAAGGTTATTTGGATTTATTAGAAACATTTTTCATCCTGCTCATCTGGTGGATGACATTTCTTCTGCCACCTTGTGGAATGCTGGGCTTGTGTTCCACACACAGGAACCCCAGGAATGTGAGTGTACCTGCAGTCACAGAGCACCTGTGTCCCTGCGGACAGGCCTCACAACTACATCACCCTGTGGCTGCTGCTGGCTGCCTTACCTAATACTAAGTTTGACAAAAGTAGTTCCTAAGTGTCACAGTGGGCACCACTGACTCCATGGAAAGCATTCAAGTCTCCTTTTATTGGAGCCACTAGTTATCTGTGAAAGTCTACGAGCTCTAAACACTCCAGCATCACTCCTGATTCACTGCTCACAATGATTAGCCCTTGGAGGAAGCAGCTAACCTCTGCCCAGAAACATTTTGAGAATTGCTTTGATCAAAGCAATTTCTCAGCAGCTTTTGTCTCCGCACTGCACAACTCACAGACTGATTAGAACAGAAATTCCCCAGGCCTCACCATCTCTTATCATAGTAGAGTTTTCCATCTTCTATCCGGGCCTCAAACCGCTGTGCCAGAGACTCTGCTGGTGTAGCTGGGAGGTGTTCAGGAGAGGAGGGGGAGGCTGAGGACAGGAGAGAGACTGTGTTTAAACACCAGCATGTGTCCATCACACCTGACTGCAAAACTGCAGTCAGTTGGGTCATATATGCAGAAATAATAAGCACAGTAAGCTACAAAGTCAAATTTCCATCAGAAAAATACTATATATTGGGATGAATAACTCAACGTCTGCCCTGAATTATAATACTCCCTGAAATAGAGCATTTATCTGAAAAAACATTCATAGGTAGGTGAGGGACAGTATGTCCTTGATTTTGTTTTAGTTCTAATCCATAGTAAAGTAGTTAAATAGGGTGAGAATTACTTAGGCGAGTAAGTAGCTCTCTGTCTTGAAATAAAATGTACAGACACATCTAGAGAGCTGGAGACATAAAACCGTAAGTGCTCAATCCTCCATCTACTGACAAGCAGGCAAGGTGCCCAAATGCACATGAATACAATGGCAAGATCTCTTGACATGGTTGGGTTGTCCCATGCCCAAATGCTTCAGCCACCAGAAAAGGACTGTTCTCCCTTCCCATCCCTGACAAAGGTCAGAGCAGATGAAGACTTCACACAGTGCTCATTCACCACAGCAGCTACACCAGGAACAGCAATTACACAGTCAAAACAACTACAGGTCAAACCCCACAGTCAGCAGTTATAGTCAAATGTCTGCAGTATCATTCTCTGTTCAGAACAGCACAACTGTGCACGAGTCCCAGTGCAACTGCTAACTCACCTGGTCTCTTGGGTGATTTAAGCTACATGGGAAGAGAACAAAGCAGTGTTAGAGATCTGACATGAGCAACAGCATCTACAGTAATCATTCCAGATAGCATACTTTCCATACTCTGAATGCTTCTATTTTAAATGCACTGTTAAGTGGCACAGCCCGTAACCAGAGCAGTGTGCTGTAACAGCCAGAGGTGCAGACAATCAGTATGGTGATACAAACCGTCTACAAACAACTTCAGTGCATTCAAATAACCCACTAAAACAAGTCAAACCCAAACCCATCTAACACACTGTTATCTCTGAATGTGATCCAACACTTCTCAGGCTATACAAAATATAGGAGATAAATCATTAGAGGCACCTCAACAGGTGGCACAAAACCCATGTTCCACTACTGTTCTCAAACACCTTAATGAGCAATGTCTGCTATAAGAAATCAGAGAAGCCTTCAGGTACTTAGCAAAAACAGTAGGTTAGTCAAAACTAGAAAAAACTATAAATACACACTGCCTCCTATTCAGTTTGCTGAATATTCTGACAGCAAGAAAAAAACAGGAATAAAAACCCCACCCCGCTAAGGCCTAAACCGAAGGCCAGATCTCCCAGAAAAATACACTGACATCTGTTCAGCCATGCAGAGGAAGAAATTCCTCAACAAAGCTCATCACTTGGTTCAGACAAAAGGTAACATTTTTAGATGGCAGTCATTTTAATTAGGTTAATTAAACCTATGAAAATAAAAGGGAGGAGATACCATCTTGGCAAATCTTTTACTATGTTACTTCAAAAAGCCTACAGGGGTGAAACAGTTTCACATCTCAAAAAGGAACACAAGAGGGACTCTGTTCTCTTCAGGGGAAAGCATTAGCTTGCTCCTTAAAACAAAAAAATGCAATCAAGCCACAATTCTTACCTTATTCAGTGTTCTCAAGTCCTCCTTTATTTGCTCATCAGTCAACAAATAATTTAGCTGAGGTATTCAGAATTAAGGTTCCCATAAGCTCTTGACAAGCAAGGTTCAAAATTAAAGGTGAATGACATTTCACTTGACTAAATGTAAGCCAAAAGGTTTCTCAGATTTTAATAACTGTCACACTTGAGCTTTTTTTGTCATAGGAATTAATATAAGTCTATCTCTACTGAGCCTCATCTTCAGCAGCAAACAGAGTGCAAAATCATTTTAACTTATTCAGACACAACCATCAAGGAAAATCCTTCAGTGCATTGACATTTACTTCATGGAGGTATCAAGCACCAGCATTTTCAGTGTTTTGCACCTCGCATTTCTGCAGAGAACAATCTGGGAGGTGACACAACAAACTCACTTCAGATTTTGTACAATGAAGCCAAATCCCACCCAAACCTAGGAAAATAAAACCTAGCATTTTGCAGCTCAGCAAGCAGGAATAGAGAGATAAGGGGAGTAGGGTAAAGTCCCACAAAAAAACCCCCAAAAAAACCCCACCTTGAAAAAAGAACCAAACAAGCAAGCCAGAGGCACAAACACATCCTTGTGTGCATGAGGATAACTAAGAGTCTACAATTCACCTGAAAACAAACCTAAAACCTCAGAACACAGATTAGTCTATTATAGTCTTATTAGAGCTCTGCTGTTCTTTTGTTTATTCAACACAGCTGTTAAACCAAAACTATTCAGAGCATTAAACAAGTTAACAATTGCTAGGCTGCATTTTAAGGATTTTGGTTGTGATGGACCTTCATGCTCCCCGCAGTGAGGAAAGGCAGAGAGTTCCATGCTGTGGCTGCTGCATCATGCACAATTAGCAGGTCATGTTCACCATGAAACTCATTTATTTTGGATGAGATAGGAGCACTAATAAATGACTATATTTTTCCTGAAAGAGTGAACAGAATCTCCAAGCAGAAAGAGGTTAATTAAAACTGGAGATGCTTGTGACCATCCTGCATGAACTCCACAAGTTCAGGGTTTGATATTGCCTTCAGAAAACGCGAGTCGCTCTGATAAGTTTTTTTAATCTAGAGACATACAAGTTTAGAATCTAATAAGAAGCCTCTGCAAAGCAAATATCCTTCCCTTCCTTTCCTGGTGAATTTCATATACAAATAGAAAAAGTGCCTACCATCACAGAGGAGCTACAAACTTATTTCCAGAAGCCAAAGAACATTTTAATTCTAAGAGACGTGCAACAAGGCAGCAGAGGAGGATTACACAGACATGTTATTCTCTCTCTTGTGATACATAAAACTCAGCTGAATTTTCATCTTTTCTTATTCAAAGAACAAATCTAGCACTCCTTGCTATGCATCTCTCTGGATTAGGGATCTGAAGCTTTTATCAGAAATGGAAAAACTAGTTTGATATGACAAATATGATCTTTCTGGTAAATGTTTTGTCACATCTCGAAATGAGAAAAGCTTTGGCTCATGTAAAAAGCCATTTACTATCTATGGGATCAATTATCTCAGCATATAT